AGTATTCTTGCATTGAGGGAGTACTTGAGTGGAGGCCCAATGTCCTTCTGCTACCTTAATACTAAACCTATAAATATAGGCACATATATCTATTTCCCCATCCTCACATAAATATATTTGCATATGTACATGTCTTTATCTAGACCTCTATAAATGCCCTTTGCCTCCCACTGGCTATACTTCTTATAAGACATACTTGTTTGTTATTTTGGAAGTCCATGATACTTTCAATAATCTTTACCTAACCATAATTCAAAAATTATCATTTTCTCCAATTTTCCTTATTCTATGTCCTACTTTCAATTACTATGTTGCAATTGAAAATATCATTGTTTGTGTCAGGTCTTCAACATTTTAAAGAGGTTTTATTCAGCAGATTTACCCAATTCAAGACAGTATTTGATTTCTTGACTATTGCTTCTATGAACATGAATTGTGGATTCAGGCAAAATGAAATCCTTGGTAAACTGCAATTTTTACTCACTTTGTCATGATGTTACCTATTGGTCTAGTTATGAGGATTTTGGTTTTCTTTACATTAAGTTTTAATTTTTATTGAAAACTGCTATCCTTGATTTTCATCAGCAAGTACTTCAAGTCTTCCTCACTTTTAGTAAGCAAGCTGTGCCAATCTCATGTCACAGGTGGATAAGGCTTCCTCCAGTCCTGATGCTGTGCTCTTCTGTATATGCTCCAGCTGCTCTGATGATTTGTTCAGCATGCGGATTGAATAAATACAGTAAGAGGATACAACCCTGATGTACACCTTTCCTGATTTTAAACCATGCAGTATTTCCTTCTTCTGTTCACACAACTTCCTCTTGATCCATGTACAAGTTCCCCCAGAGCACAATGAAGTGTTCTGGAATTACTATTCTTCTTAAGGATATCCATAGTTTGTTATGCTCCACACAATTGAATGCCTTCGCATAGTTACTAAAGCACATGTGATCAACTATACCTTGGTCCACATCCTTTTCTGAATCTGGCCTGGATTTCTGGTAACTCCATGTCAATGCATTGCTGTCGTCCTTGTTAAATGAACTTCAGTAAAATGTGTTTGCATGGGCTATTAATGATGGTGTTAGGTAATTTTCTCATCCTGTTGAGTCATTTTTGTTTGGAATGTATATAAAAATGGATCTTTTCCAGTCAGCTGGCCAGGTAGATATGTTCCAAATTTCTTGACATAAAAGATTTGGTGTTTCCAGTGCTTCATGAGTTGTTGAAGCATTTCAATTGGTTTTCCATCAACTTCGGGAGCTTTGTTTTTGGCTAATGCTTTCATTGAAGCTTTGGCATCTTCCATCAGTATTGTTGGATCTTAAAATTGTTGAATGTCAACATTCTTTTTTTGGTATAATGATTCTGTGTATTCTTTCCTTATTCTTTTGATGTTTCCTGTATCATTCAGTATTTTGCCCATGGAATCTTTCAGTATTGCAACTAAAGGTTTGATTTTTTTTTTAATGTCAAATAATTATGTTTAAGATATTTGAGTGTGTTCTTCCTTTTTGGTTTTATAACTCTAGGTTTTTGCACATTTCATTATAATACTTTGCCTTTTGAAGCTGTTCTTTGAAATTTCCTGCTGAGTTCTTTGCTCAGCTTTTAATTTTTCTATTTGCCTTAGTTATTTTATTATTAAGAACAAGTATCATATATCCATTTACATCTTTTCTTTTTTTCTCCCTTTTCCTTGCATTTTGAGGATATTTTTTCTTTCTTCATGTATGATGTTCTTGATGTCATTCCAAACTCATCAGTTCTTTAGTAATTAATTTTCAATGCATCAAATCTGCTCATGAGATATTTTCCAATTTCAGGTAGGATAAATTCAAAGTCCTCTCTTACTTTTTATGGCCTTGTTTGAACTTTCTTTAGCTTCAACCTAAACTTGCATAGGAGCAATTGATGATCTGTTCTACGGGTGGCCCAGGGCCTCATTTTAGCTTCTGATATTTAGATTCTTTAATTTTTCTTCCCCCCAACAAAACCAAACTAAAGCTACTCTTATGGAATTAATTTCGACTGTCAGGCTAGAACTGTGTCTATGACTGTAACTGTTAACTGTAGAGTAGCTGGTGGTTTTGAACTTTTGACATTTGTTTAGCAGCTTAACATGTAACTACTATTCTACCAGGGCTCCTTTGATTTCTGTGTATGCCATATGGAGTAGTCCATGTGTATAGTCAATACTTATGGTTTTGAACTAAGGTATTTTTCACGAAATAAGTCATTGGTCTTGCAGAATTCTATCATGAGATATGCAGCTCTCTTTACACCAACAAGGCCATATTTTCCAATTACTGTTCTTTCTGCTTTGTTTCCAACCTTTGCTTTCTGATTGCCAATAATTATTAATTAATGCATCTTGACCACATAGTTGACTAATTTTAGAATGAAGATGCTAATAAAATTTTTCATTTTCTTCTTCACTCCCTTTAGTATTTGTCATAAAATTAAATAACAGTTGTAGTGACTAGATTTCCTTGTGTGTGGATAGATATTATCCTATCACAAATTAATTATGAAATGTCTTTTTTTTGAAAGTGACTTTGGACTTTGTTGCTTCTCAGGTAGATGGTTGCTTTTTTATCTTAAAGCCTTTAAGACCCCAGACACAATATCTTTTGATAGCCAGGCTCCATCAGCTTTCTTCACTATATTTGCTTATGCACTCATTTTGTCTTTAGCAATTGTGTTGGGAAGCTGAGCATCATGGAATGCTAGGTTATTAGAACAAAGTGTTCTTTCGTTGAGGGAGTACTTGAATAGAGGCCCAATGTCCATCTGCTACCTTAATATTTAACATATAAATATATGCATATATAAATCTATTTACTTGTTATATATGTATCAGTCTAGGTACTTTAGAGAAAAAAATCCACAGCAACTCATGTATAAGAGAGTTTTATGTAAAGAAAGTGTGCATCACGAAAACATCCCCACCCAATGCTGCCCAAGCCCACAAGTCCAACATTAACCCATACCCAACACCAGTCCACAAAGTCCTTCACCTCACAAAACAGAGGCAATAATGCCGACTGCAGGAGGAAAGCTGAGTCAGTGAACGAACAAGCATCTCAGCACTAGCAGCGGTCTCCACACGGCTGCTCCAGCACCCAGGGCTGCATCGGGATAGGTCCATGTAGCTTCTCCTTGGGGATGTCTTGTAGGAAGTCAATCTTGCAAGCTGAAGCAGGGAACTGCTAAGGCAGCTGCACCCTGGTGCGACCATCACAAAGCAAGAGACCCGAGAACTAGAAAGGCAAGGCTCACCACCCATTTATCCCTCCGCCTTTCAGTTAGCCCCACATGTGATTATCGGCCAGGTTGGCACAATTAACTAACTCAATATACAAATATATTTACATGTGTACATGCCTCTATTTAGACTTCTATAAATGCCCATTTGCCTCCTAGATCTTTCCTCTATTTACTTTTACTTTCCTCTTGTCCCGCTATCATGTTCAGCTTTCATTTGCATTTTTTAAATTCCTCTTGTTTACATTGCCCTTGATCAAGCCCTACTAGGCATTCTAAGGCCCCCTCTCCATCAATTTTAAATCACTTGTTGTTCCCTTGTCCCTGGGTTTCTTAACACCCACTTCCTTTTCCTCACCTTCCCCTCTCCTGTGTTTCCCAGAAGTCATTAGTTCCATTATTTTCTCCTCTGGATTGTTTATCTCACTTACCTTATCTAGATCGACATGCAGAGACAATAATAAACACAAAAATAAGACAGAGAAAAACCAAACAATAAAAGAAAACAACACAAAAACAACAAAAACCCAATGACAAGCCCTTCCCCAAAAGCTTTAAATAGTTCCAGATTTGTTTGTTGACCTTTAGGAATGTTTTCCAGTCCAGTCTGGTGGAGTGCCATGCCCTGGCCCTAAAGTATTTTTGGCATTCATTGCTTTGTTCCCCTTGCTGCTCTCTTCCATGCAGTTAGCATGGAAGAAGCACACCAGCCTGTGTGATCATGAGGAGTCAAAGGGATCAGATATCCGGCATTAAATACCCAGAACAAAATAATGATATCAATGTGAATGAGGGGGAGGTAGTGGAGTGGAGAAACAAAGCCCATCTGTAGACAATTGGGCATCCCCTTACAGAAGGGTCACAAGGAAGAGATGAGCCAGTAAGGGTGCAGTATAGTACCGTTGAAACATACAACTTTCTTCTAGTTCTTTAATGCTTCTTCCCCCTCACCAGCCCATCATGACCCCAATTCTACCTTACAAATCTGGCTAGAACAGAGCATGTATACAGGTACAGATAAGAGCTGGAAACACAGGAAATCCAGGACAGATAACCCCCTGAGGACCAATAATGAGAGTAACAATACCAGGAGGGGAAGGAGAAGGTAGGAGAAGAGAAGGGGAACTGATCACAATGATCTACTTATAACCCCCTCCAAGGGGATGAACAACAGAAAAGTGGGTGGAGGGCGACATTGGCCAGTGTAAGACATGACAAAATAATAAAAATTTATAAATTATCAAGGATTCATGACTGAGAGAGGATGGGAGAGGGAGGGGTGAAATGTGGAGCAGATACCAAAGGCTCAAGTAGAAAGAAAATGTTTTGGAAAATGATGATGCAAACAAATGTTAAAATGTGCTTGACACAATGGATGTATGTATGGATTGTGATAAGAGCTGTTCGAGCCCCCAATAAAATGATTTTAAAGCAAAACAAACAAAAAAAATTGAAAATGAGTGTGACAATTTTTCTTGAATCTGTCATTCTTGTCATAGTAAACTATGTGATTGTCTGATTTAAAATGGGCAATACCAGTCCATTTTAGCTCACTAATGCCTAACTTACTAATTATTATTTAATATTATTCCAAAAAAATTACACTTTTACACACAGTTATAAGATGACTCCCTCCTGGTGTTTTCCTTGCAGATGCAACTGAACAGGTCATCATAAAGGTCTAGTTTTTTTGACAAAGCATTCTGGAACCTCCATGCCGTTTACTACAATTAAGATGTGCTGGCTGTTTGAATACATCTGAAAGGATGTATGTGCCTTTCAAAGAAGAGGAAAGGACCAGATATTGATCTAGCACAGCATCAAGATGAAGGGAACTACGAAGCATACTCGGGTGTTCACCATGTGGAAACACATTGATCTTTATGTAGTCCATCTTGTTTTTGACAATTTCCACCATCCTAAATTCATACCTAGCAAGTATTAATAATGAAAAGATGTTTGCAGCTGCTTCTTCTCATTTTGAGCTGTCCTCCATCAGCAAATGGCTTTAATCCGTCTACATCATTATGGTCTACTTTACTTTTTTTTTTTTCACTTTCTTTTTTTTTTTTCCGTTTAGCATTTTATTAGGAGCTTTTACAGATCTTATTACAATCCATAGTTCCATTAGATCAAACATAGTGGTGCACTTGCTGCCATCATTTTCAATACATTTTCTTTCTCCTTGAACTCCTGATATAAGTTCTCCTTTTTTTCTCTCTCTTTTTTAACATTTTATTAGGGGCTCATACAACTGTTATCCCAATCCATACACACATCAATTGTGTGAAGCACATTTGTACATCGTTTCTCAAAACATTTTCTCTCCATTTAAACCCCCGACATTAGGTCCTCATTTTTCCCCTCCCTCCCTGCTCCCCCCTCCCTCATGAGCCCTTGATAGTTTATAAATGGGTATTTTGTCATATCTTGCCCTGTCCGACGTCTCCCTTCATCCACTTTTCGGTTGTCTGTCCCCCGGTCTACTTTACTTTTGAAGGTAACTCTTCCTCAGTCTTTTGACGTGAGGGGCTCATTTTCTAGCACCATCTCTGAAAATGCTCTGTTGTTATTCATGAGGCTTTTAGGATGTGACAATATTCCACTGCTATTACTAAGATTTTCAGGGTCAAATTCCTCAGAAGTGGAGATCCTATTTCTTCTTTATAACTTGTTCTTAGTCTGGAAGCTCTACTGAAACCTGATCACTTTGGGTGACCCAGCTGATATTTGAAATACTGGTGACATAGCTTCCAAGATCACAGCATCAAACAAGTCACAATAATCTAACCAATTTACAGACAATCGGTGGTCCCAAATTTTAGTGTATGAAATATTTGAGATGAACTCATATTTGCCTTGATCAGTTTCTTTGCTGGTAGCTCAGGTTTACGGCCTGATATATGGCATGTGCATCAGTTAGTTGTATCAGTCTGATGGCTAATGTTGTTGCAGTTAAGTTGGCTCCACTTCATTTCCTATGTAATAGAACAAACACACTTGCCTGGTACAGTGACATCCTCATAATCGTCAGTAGGTTTGAATCTATTGTTGCAAATAACACGCCACTCCATCTCATTAATGGCTTTCCTCATGTTTTGTTGGTCCTTTACTTTACCTGAATAATGCTGCATGTAAGAGAGCAAGCAAGAAAATATGGAATGAAGTGATGGAGGAAGGGGCAGAGCAAGGAAGGAAGGATGGAAGGAAGGAAGGAAAGGAATAAGATGGAATGGGGGGGTCATAGTGAAGGAGTTTGGAAATGATGATATGATGTGAAAGGTAGGAAGTGTGGTGATCGGGAGGTCAGAAAGGCAGGCTGGCAGGAAGGAAGGCAGAAAGGGAAAGAGGGAGGAAGTCAGGCAGTCAGGAAGGGAAAGAAGGAGGAAGAAAGGAAGGACGTGAAGAAGTGAGGCTTGGAATGAAGGAATGAAGGAGTAAGGGAGTGGAAAAGTGAAGCAATAATGGAGTGAGAGAGGAAGGCAGAAACTTGGGAAGGCAGGAGGTCAGGAAGGTAAGAAGGCTGACAGGCAGAGAGGCAAAAAGGAAAAGAGAAGGAAAGAAAGAAAAACATATTATTTCAGGGTCCAGCCCTGCTACTGTAATGGGTTATGAGTTGAGCAGCTAACTACAAAGGCAGCTATTAGAGAGTCAGGTGCTTGATGGAAGAAAATGAGACTTTCTAATACCATGAACATTCACAGTGTCAGAAACCCACAGAGGCACTCCCCCTTGGTTTTGTAAGGTCTCTGTGAGTCTGAAGCCACTCCGTGATGGTGTGTTCACTTTGGTTTGATGTAATTCATGTCTGAAGGCAGCTTATCTAGGCACACTCTTTTCATGGTGGCAGCAGGAGTACAAGAAGGCAGGATGGAATATGTCATGCTTATTTGAGCCTAGGTTCAGATCTAGTACAATATAACTTTGTTTCATTTTGTTGATGCAATCAATTTGCATGGCTAAGTTAAGGTACAGAGAAATAAACACACCTTCCTTCTTTATTGTAAGGAACTTCAGGTCACATAGAAAAGGACATAAATCAGGAACTAGTGAAGAATTGGGACAAGCAATGGTTTCATTAAGAAACATGCTTCCAATAAAAGGATGCAAAAATGTTTTAATTACATTTTTTTAAGTTAAAAAAAAAACAAGAAAAAAGAAACATCCTTAACCCTGTAGTGTTACAGGTAAAACTGGTTTCAGAAGGCCGGAGAAAAAGAAGCTTGGTAGATAGAGTAATAATACCATCACATACCAAACTGTGTACATGAACACAAAAGAAAACCCTTTAAGTTCCTATTGATGGTTTAATAATATCTATGCATAATTATAAGTGATAACATGGTCTATGCATTGCACTGTGAGCAAGGCAAGCTGTTCCAAGCCACCAGCTGCTCTGAAGGTGAAAGGTGTGACTGTCTGCTCCTATAAAGATGTCTGGTCTCAGAAACACAATGTGTCACTAAAGGTTGGAAATGACTTGGTGGCAGTGGTCTTAGCTGGTTTCAGATGCTGTCCATACAGAAGAGGTACTTCCTTTGCACTGAGGTATCCAACGGATTAATTCTGTTACCTCTTCTTTCCTCTACATTCCAAAATGTTCTCTGTGGTGTAAGATAGGATTGCAAATATGTAACTTGCTGCAATCAGAGACATTATTGGACACTATGACCATGACAGTGCCATCGGGTTCATATTTCTGTCCAACTAACAGACATAGGAAACAAACTCCCCTCATGAAAACATGGAATTATGTAAACCCCTTGTCTGTGACAGGGTTCGCAGAGAATACAAATAAAAATAAAGCAGTAAAAATCATCAGAAAATTGTACCTTGCAAAGAGGTGGAGTAGAAAGAGAGAGAGAGAAGAAAAAATGTGTCATCTCTCAGCCTTTATTAGTTTTTGACATAATTTTTTACTGTATAGAAGTTATAACAATGTGATAGAATAAATTATTAATTATTATTCATTGGAGCCCTGGTGGTGTAGCGCTTATGTATTGGGTTGCGAACCAAAAGGTTCGTAGTTCAAAACCACCAGCTGCTCTGTAGGAGAAAGCCTAGACTTTCTACTCTCATAAAGAGTTACAGCTCGGAAACTCAGGCGCTGCTCTACCCTGCTCTACAGGGCTGCTCTGATTCGGTATTGATTCCATGGCATTGAGTTCAGTTTTTGGTCTTGATGGTGTGTTTATTTATATGCATAACACATGAGAGACAATGAATTAATGTTTCTTCAATAAAACAAATTCAACAATATTGAGATATTTTTCTTAAAATGCTCATAATGGCGGAACACAGGAAATGAAGGGTCCAAATAGTACATGATGAGAAAAAGATTTGCCTTAGAGACTGTTATTTTTACCTAAGTAGATCTCTGGGTCTTTCTCACACAGAATTACTGACAGCTTTCAAACATCCAACCTTTCCGTTAGCACCCAATTGTGTAATCATTGCATCAAAATACCTCATTATTAATGATTTTAATGTATTGTGGTAGTTACATAACCTGTTGTTAATTTGAGACATAGGAGTGAAGGGGTGGAGTTTAGCCATTCAATCAAGTCACAGCTTGATGACCTCATTTGAAGGTGGCAAGGAGATAAATAGCTCATTGGAGGCGGGACACAGGCTCACTCCCTGGAGACATTGCAGCTGAGAAGACACCTGGAACTACACTAGTGCCCTGAGCTGGGGGAGCCACATAGAGACCCCTGCCAGTGCTGAGATGCTTACACCACCACTATATCCTCAAGACTTCCCACCCACTGGCGTGTGAACTTCCTGCATTTGGTGTCATTGCATGTGTTGCGTGAGTCTGAAGAGGAATTTATAGATTGGTATTGTATATAGGGGCTAATATTGGATTTATGGACTTGATCTGGACTGTACTGGGATGTTTTCCCAATATTCAGTTGCTCTGGTATATAAAGCTCTTTCGTATCCACATGAGTGTCTAGAATTTGTTTCTCCAGTCTATCCAGACTAACACATATATCTTGAAGAGCAAGTAAATTGGAAAGAGAGAGAAAGGGAGGAAGAGATGTAGGGAAAGATGAAGTTTAGCTGCTTCTTCAGGAAACAAAGTTTTCTAAGATTTATCATTCCTTTAAGAGAAACAAGCAGAAAATTGCAATACACTCTTGATTCCTAACCAAGAAAGAGTTTATGAACCAAGAGCAAATGAAGAGTAAGTGCTCAAACCGATGTACTTGGCATCTTCCATATATCCAGGATCTTATCCAATTTTCAATAGTTTGTTGCTGATTTAAAGTGATAATAACATATCATTGTTGTCATTTTTCTTGGTCCTAATACCTCAGAATCTATTCAAGGAGACATGACACCATATAAACATAAAAAGAAAGAGACAAGAAAACTAAGTACAAAAATAAGATTACAAAAGGATTTTTAAACTGGAAAAAATAGATAATAATTCGAGGATTTGTTTTCAAATGCTAAAGATAAATTGATGCTTTTGTTGTTGTTTTGGTTTTTAATGCATTTTAATAGTTTTATTGACATATAATTAATATATAATCCAATTCAATAGTTAAATCATATCTAGAAGAGTTATGCAATCATCATCACAATCAATTTTTGAACATTTGCTTCTCTCTTATACTCATTGCTGTTCGCTCCCTACTTCATCCCCAATCTCCTCTGCCATGTCCCTAGGAAATGATTAATCCAGTAACTGTACCTATACATTTACCTATCCTGTAAGGATTTCATATACAGAAAAACAAAACAAAAACAAACAAAAAATTTCAACAGTGACAAACTTAGAAACCAGAAAAACTTCAAATGAAAAGAAAGCAGAAAATATTAAGAACTAGAATAAATTTAAAGTGGGCCCAAAGGGAG